AAGAAAGTGACACAGAGGTTATTGAAAACGAAAAAAATTTCGATTGACAAATTAGTTGGTATTCTCGACACAGCAATTATAGGACCTGAACAGCGGAACTTTGTAACTAAACAAGAAATTATGTCTGTTTAATAGAATTAAAGAGAAAGTATTATCACATAAAACGAAGCAACTTAAACAACTTACATTGAAAGAAATGTTTAATAAAGTAAACAAATAAATATTAAGCTTTTCCTTTTGTAAATTTTGATACCCTTTAGATCATAATTGTTCTTTATTTCATAAATTACGGTTTCATATTTTTAATTTTATAATTTCTGCATGCCATCTTACCAGATTTAAACTAATGATCTATAATCCGGAAAAATCGATAATCTGGAATCGCCGAAGTCCCGACGAGTCCGGATTAACGACTTTTGACTGTACAGTCAAAAGTCTTTAATCAAGATGGACGTCCATAATCCGGAAAGATCTATAATCCGGACCTCAAAGCTACAAACTTTCTGCACATGCGTAAACGCATAATGCATTTATGCATGCGCATAATACCTTTACGCATGCGCGTTTAATGTATAACAGATGGTATAAGCTAAGCTAAAATTATCTAATTATCTATTTCAGTTAATGTTCCAGATTGTGTTGTACCTTAATCTTCTAATTGGATCTGGCTTATTATTTTTTTCAGACTGTTAGAGCAATTTTATAAAAGTAAGCTTGAATTTTCGTTTATGTCAAAATGAATTTCCAATTCTGGAGCTGCCAAAGGATCTACAAAGCAAAAGCTTGTTTCGATGTCCATCAAACAAAAAGTGGAATTGCTGCAAAAAATGGATAAAGGCATATCCTTTGTTTCTGTAACCATTCCGAAATCTGTTTATCAATTTCACGCTGCTCTGCGAGGGGGGGGGGACGTCACAGAGCGCAATGAACTGGAAGTTGATCTGTCAGCACGATCCTTATCTTCAGAGCAGATGTTTTTATTTTATTTCGCTTACAATTCCTTACTAAATGTAGTATATCATCTTGATGTACTCCGTCTTTGATATGATTAAATCAAATTCCTCGTCATTATAAATATTACGAACACACACCAAATAGCTTTCTGGTTGCAATTTTCTAATTTCGACTATGCGTAATGTATGCTTTACGCATGCGTACGTTGAAAGAAATGTTTAATAAAGTAAACAAATAAATATTAAGCTTTTTTTTTGTAAATTTTGATACCCTTTAGATCATAATTGCTCTTTATTTCATAAATTACAGTTTCATATTTTTAACTTCATAATTTCTGCATGCCATCTTACCAGATGTAAACTGATGATCTATAATCCGGAAAAAACGATAATCCGGAATCGCCGAAGTCCCGACGATTCCGGATTAGAGACTTTTGACTGTACTTTCTGCTTCTTGAAATTACTGTATGGCAATATGAGGGTTGAATTACAGTTACAGTCATTATAGTGATCAATTACATTTATTCAATTACAATATGTATTACAGTGATAGGGGGACTGGACCAAAACGTTTCCAAATGGCTGTCAGTTTGGTGACAAGTTTGGCGATTTATTGCTAAATTTGGCAAAAAAAAAAAAAGTCACAAAAATTGTTACCAGGCTGGTAATGCCTCGCTAAATTACCAAGACACCCATTTACTCAATGTTAAATGGACTTGCCTCTGTATTTTATCTTTTAAGGCATAGCATGTCTCTCTAGATTTTTCAATTGCAAAGAAAAGTACAACAATATTACATATAATTTAATTAAAATCATCTATGTACAAAATTTATAACAATATCATTAAAGTTAGCTGGCCTAGAAATAAAGCCAAAACTATTCTATATTTCCTTGAAGTACCTTTCATTTTATTGGTAGGTAGCACATGCAAAATATTGTTATGAAATGTCCAGGCACAGTAGGATAGCTTCCCTGCAAAGAAGGTTTAGATTGCCAGAAATAGCAAGCGGAGGCAGTGTTGCCATTTTTGGCAAGATATCGCCCTTTCGACGACAAAATTGGCAATATGCCATAGATAGATGGAGAACCTTCTCAAACGAATTCTTACTGGTTTAACCCAGGATGTTCTCGAATGCAAGCCAAAAGCTGTATAAACCCTGCTGGTACACACACAGTCAGTCGGTCGTGGAGTGCACCGAGAGAGTCTCTTAGTGTATCATGAGCTAGTGCATCGTTGAGTTTTATCTTAGAGTGTATTAAGCTCTGGGAACGAGTGAACTCAGTCGGGAGCTCTACTCTAGTGTATCATCAAGTTCATCGCAAGTTGTAGCATGGAGAGTTTCGATAGTACTTAGAGTTCCGAGAACAACCAAGCAGAGCCGGAAGCGGTACTCTGGTGCTTTGCCGTGAAGCCGTCTCCATCATTATAGCCTGGAGGCTGTGTCACTGATTATTTCAGCATGTTTATAGTAGTTCTTTGATGAGTGTAAACGTGATCTGGGAGCTTCCATGACAATACTGGCTAATAAATTATGTTCTGATACTTCATCAAGCATCATCTTTACTCACTCCAAATCCACAAACCCTTAACGTAAAGAGAAATGCAATAACATTTTGTTTTATTGCTGAGCTACATCAGATCCATTTTGCTCAAGTATTTTTCTCTACCTCTACAAAAACTACAGAATACATCCTTTTCGAAAATACTTTGGCAATTTTCCAGCAAACTACTGTTTCAAATGCACTTAAATGAGTGAAACCTTTTATAGTGAAGAGTATTTGTTTATGAAGGAAATAGCTAATAATCATATGAGGCAAGATATGAAGAATGAGATACAACACAACAGTAAAATGCTTCAAGCAGCTGAAGAACATACAGCCTGATATTATCAGATTGGTAAATAATGCAACACCTATTTATTCATGCTGGCTATTTTTTGCTCATTGCTTCTTTCATTTCTCCAGTTGAGAACATCATTTTTTCTATTACTTGTTTCCCTTTGCAGCAGTTCTTAATAAATGATGTTCTTCCAATCCCATCATACTGACATTCAAACTTTGCATAAAGAGAGGGTATTGCTACAGTTAAAGGCTTAGTATGACTGGATCAAGTGCATTTATAGTTAACATTCTCATACAAGTTTCATCTCCAATAACTAATAACTTCAGAAATGGTTACTTCTAATTTTTCCAAAGAAGTTAATTTCACACAGAAACATAGTTAAGGAGGGTACTAGCTGCTAAATGATGCAGAACTTGTACCTCGAAGCAATTGATGCAGCCATATTTTATGAGATACATGTGCATCAACATTCAATGGATGTCTAAAATATCTGCTAATTTATAAACGGTATATAATGGGTTTTTGTGAATGTCTTGATGAGAATCATATGTGTGATGGATGAACGATAACTAAGGTATACATCTACTACTAGCACAAAGAATTTTATAGCAAGAATTATCCTGTTAATTTAATTCTTATGATGAATTATCAGGACTATATTGGTAAAACAAAATGCCCTCATCTTATCCGGATTAAAATTACAAATTCTGAGCTTTTAAACAAACTTCTACTTGTCTGAATATTTAAAGCATCACTCCTATGAAGTGCCGATCTATGATAACTAGCCATGGACTAAAACAGATGGCACTTTTAACTAGACAGACTGCAAGTTATTATACATGCACCAAATAAAGCAGTGGTGTTGCAGATCCCAAAAGCAACTTTTAAGGCAGCCTAAAAAGAAAAACTTAGCTAAAAAAAATTTAAATTAAATCTCTTGAGCCTAAACATAGCTGCAAAACCATAACTCAGGTCAATTTTAATATTCAGACTTCACTTACTCTATCCACACCATTTCATTTGCTTTGGTTAGACAAGCCACAGAGTAGTTACTATGTGGTAATAAGGCACTGTCTGTGACAAATGCACAATTAATAATTATAAGGTATTTTCTATCTCTTTAACGCATGCCTTTATGATGCATCTGGATAGCCCAATCGGTTAGCAATTGGGACATTCGATGTTCAAATGCTGCCTAGGGCATTTCACATTTTTCATGTTTCCTAATTCAAAAAAAACCTAATGACTCTACATAGTAATAAAGATAAATAAAAATTACACTGGCTATCTCTGGTAAAAAAGAAATTAGTGCAACTTTTATTTGATTTAAAAAAAAAAAAAAAAAAAAAAAAAAAAAGCACAAAGAATTTTATAACAAGAATTATCCTGTTAATTTAATTCTTATGATGAATTATCAGGACTATATTGGTAAAACAAAATGCCCTCATCTTATCCGAATAAAAGCCTACAACAAGTATCAAGGCTACAAAGTTAAACAAACACTCAAGACCAAGTTCCGCCATTCAGTATAAACTTTGAAACTCCTTCAATTCTGCTTCCTGGTTTCTACCTAAATTTAAAAAAAATTTGCCACTTGGAGCAGCTGCATTGGCTCAGGCACCGACTCTGCAAACATTCATATTTCATGGTAATTTTAAAATAATTTTAGAATAAAAAACATTAGTCAGAAATACCATGTGCTCCTAAAGGATACAACAGGTGGTTTACCTCTTTGATTTTTATACTACTTTACATACAAAGCAATAGATAACACATTTTGATTGTGGGGAAAAAACAATGAGCATATAATTCAAGACTGATAATTTTTTTCTGATTTATCATTCCATGTATTAATTAATATCATGTATTTTTTCATTAATTTTTTCATTTTTCTGAAACTATACCAAAGGATATAGCATCAGTATTTTTTTATGTATGGCATTAAATTCTTTCAGCAAATATTACACTTAGGATACTTAGAATAACTTAAACTGTCTTTCTTTTGCTACAAAGCATAGGTTTAATAATGTTTGCCCACATTATGCAATTCACCAATGTGAAAGTGGTCGACATGAATAAAAATTATATAATAGCAAAGAATTTTTACAAATTTTAAATAGACAAGCTATAAAATATTACAAGAAACCTAAATTATAAAATAAGTTAATATAAAAAAATATTTGATAAATATTGAGCAATAAACCTTTCCAGTGCCTTGACAAAATGTACATTTTTCAGGTTTTGTCCCTGGCTTACTACGTTGCCCATTACAATCTGGACAAGTATCTGATATGTTCAGGGAAACATCTTTATTTACACCTAGGGTAGCTTCCTTAAAAGTTAAATTCATCATGACCTAGAATAATTATGAAAGGAAGTATTAATATGGATAATAGCAAAAAGTAAAATACACAAAGTGAAAAAAAATATGCATACAAATATTACAACATCCTTACTTCATATGAACTAAATCCAGTCTCAGATTCAGCATAATCGGACTGTGAAAATCCTGCATGGAAACCCTGGAACATATTCCTAAATAACTCCTCAGGATCAAGATCTGAAGTGAAGCCATGCCGAGCAAATTCATCAGTGGTACCCCACTGATCGTATTCTTTCTGTTTTGCTTCATTACCAAGAACCTGCGAAGGATTTTATGTAATAATTTAATTTACAGAGTAAGTTATAATTGATCATATGACATATTTTTAAACAATACAGTAATGTTTCACAACTATATTCATCATTTTCTGATTATCTGCACACCACTGAAAAGTTGCGAACTCACTGGCTGCTAATTTTTTGCAAAGTTAATGCAGGAAAGACAACAACCTTTTTCAAAATGGCAATGCAGTAAGATTCATACAACAGCAATTAATCAATAAATTAAAAAAGTAAGAAACATTGGTAATGATACAGTTTTTTTTTAGCTTTCATTCTTCTGTTTGTTTCTGAGCTTTTGTTCAGTGATCTATTCACAGGTCAAAACAGACATGTGCTATGTATATACTTAGTCTGTCACATAAATACTTTTACGTGACTTTTGGTCAGGGGTGCAGATGACAGAAAAAAAAAACGCGTATTCTGTTATTTTAGGGAAAATGCAATTTCATATCTTTTAAAATGTGTTTAAATGTTGTTAAATGATGATATGAGAGGGGCTGTAGACAACTCAAGCTTTAATGACATAGGAAGGTATTTACTAACTGCTTTCTCATACAGATGCAAGTACATATAAGAAACTTCATGATGATATTGGTGCAACTGATGATGAATTCTGAATTAATGCTGGCATAAAGAAAGTATTCCACATACTAGGATGACAAGCATGACCACAGTGAGATAATTTGCCGGTGTTTTCAATACCAAGTAAAATATTACTATATTTAATCAACAAGTTACCTTGAATGTAAGATACCTTTTAAATTTAAGATAACTTAAGAAATAAAAATGCAGGTGAATATTTGATGAGAGCAGTTCTGAATAGAATCCATTTGTTTCTGATTGGAATGAAAGCCAAGCTATTCATTAAATATAATATTTTATTATGGTATAGAAGGAAAAATTAGCAAAATTAATGATACATTATCACCTATCTATTTTTAGACATACTAGTAATCAGTGGATTCAGGCTTTAACTAAAACAACAGTGGATGCAGGCCTTAACTGAAATTGCTGAGTTAGGCATGCCTGTTATAATTAGCTGTAGTTATGTATGTCTTTCTTTATTCTGTAATTTCATTTATAAAAATACCTCATTGTAAGTCCTAACCAAATTTTAGGGATGTGGGAATATTTTGACTAGTCTGGGAGTGATTAAAACCACATGAAATTAATGCCAGATAAAGTAAATATCTATTCTTTCACTTCTGCAGTTTAAAACTTAGTAAAGGAAAGACAATGTATGTTCTAGGTACTGTTGCATTTATATTTTTCTTTGCTAATACTTGAAAGTTCAGTATAAACAAGACATTTTATTGTAGACAATGACTTTGCACTTAACTCTTTAGATTTGAACTTGAAGTATTCATATTTCAGTTATTCAATAAATTATAATTAACATCTTTTACCAATATGGTCTTCACTGGGATCTTCCAACTCAAAAGTTTCATATGTATTTTTATAGTTATACATCTTTCAAAGGACAAAGAGAAAAGATATATAAATGAGAAAAACACATAATTGAAATTTCAGTTTAAGGATATGAGATACATATTTTGCAGAAGAATTTTAATATTAGTACTATATACTCTTATAACACAAACTTTATCATCCACTTTTGTTATTTACATTAAAAGAAATTAGATATTTCATATGTAAAATGATAAGATTCTAACACTGTAAGACATTTACAATCAGTAGCCTTTATTTCAACAGTCCATCTTTTATAAATATATAAATATCATTTGTTGCTGGGAAAAAAAAAAAAAAAAAAAAAAAAAAACCTAAAACTCAAAGAAAAAAGATTTCAGTGTCAAGTAATTAATTTTAATTTTGAACCCTGAGAAAAATGTTAAGAACACTACTACTAGAAAACAAAGGCCAAATAAACAATTCTGTTAAAGCAAGCTTACTCAGTAATGCAAAAATGAAGCATCTCTCATCAGTAAACTTGTTTAGTTAGCAGACTCCATTATTTGTTTTATGCCTCCAAGCAAACCCTTCTTATATCACAAGCTAGATTTAAGCCCTGTTCAGTCTGAGATACCTTATGTTTTTTATCGTTTGTAAAATATACTTGCATATTAGTGCAGCGATCTTGGTACAATTTGGCAATTTTTCATAGAAGAAAAAGTATGAGTTAAAATTGAAAAGAAAAAAAATCATTCATTACATATGTATTTTGCATTCTATTTATTAAGAACCAATCAATAAACCATAGCTCTATTTATCACAAAATTCAATCAAGAAAAACTATAAAAATCACTAACTTGAAAAATCAATCAATGAACTATATTTCTATCTATCTCAATAGTTTGAGAAAATTAAATAAAGTATTGCAATTGATTTACAGTTAGCTTGAACTATTAACGCGAACATTTAACCCGAATATTTTCCCCAATAGTTTAGGTTAACTATACAAATCACTAACCAGTCGAGATAGTTATAAAAATCAACTAACTTATTAGGATAACTATAAAAATCAATCAATAAACTATAGTTATCTTTATCCGGAAAATGAATTGATTAGCTTACATAGGAAGTTTTATTTCTTTTATTCTGGTGATCAAGACAGTTACAAAAATCACTAACATATCAGGATAACTAAAACGACCCAGTCAATTAAGTATAATTCTTTTATCCAGAAAATGAATAAACAGACTTACAGAAGAGGTTTAGTTTCTTTTGTTCTTGTCAAAATTTTGCGGTATCTGTTGCAAACAGATTCAAAGCAGGTTCCCTTAGTGACTTTACTGCAAAATAGTGTATAATTGCAGAAATTTAAATTCCTTTCACTCGAATCAAATCCTACAATCATGTATTTTAAAATTGAGCTTAACATAAAAAATATCACAATTTGTCTAGAAAAGCATTGGATTATGGAATATAATAAAAAAAAAAAGCATATGAAAATGTCAATGTTGCTTGTGAAAACTGCAGAATTTATATTCATCAGAGTTAAGCACATTCTGAAACTTAACCACATCTGGTAAGGTGGTTGGATTAATAAGTAAATAACAAATTTTGTAAATAAATAAGGGTCAAAACTATTATGGCTTGAAATAGCCTATTTTATTTATTTCTTAATTCGGAACTGTAATTTTATGTTTAATTACTTAAGGGCTATCAGTCATGAATCTTGAAACTCTTTATATTTCATGCATAATAATAGTAATAAAGAGCAACATAATACAAAATTTAATAAAATTGAAGATTTACTTTATATGCTTCAGAAACTTCTTGAAACTTCACCTGAGCTTCAGGATCTCCAGCATTTACATCTGGATGCTTTTCCTTTGCAAGCTGGAAAATAAAGAAAATTCAAGGGAACAAAAAAATCATTCGACAGCTTTCAAATTTTATATTACGCCCAAGGGGCATTTTTTAAAACATTTTGTGTGTTACCTTTATTTATTAAATACCATGTTCTTTGCACTTAAATCACATAAAATTCAACAGCAGTATCACATAATATTTAAAAACAGCATATCTTTAGAATTTCTGATAAACAGTCTTGTGCACTGGAGGTAGAAATGTTTTTTCCATACAGTGTTGCCATTGTCGTTTTGAAATCATTGAGCAGGTTAATCAAAAATTTATTAAAGTATTACAAAATATAAAATAGATAATAAAACAAATTTGAAACTTAAATTTCGGACTTCCAGATGCCCATGTTCGGATGAAGGATTACATAATTCAAAATTTAAAGGCATTAGATTTAATTAAATTTTTAATTTAAAGGCATTTGTTTTTTGCATTTTTTTCCCAATGCAAAAAACACACATACATTCATGCAGATTCTTCATTATTTGAATTACCTTTTCCCTTGCATGTGCTACTGGGGGGAAAACACCCAGTTCAACTTGAAAAAAATACAGTTTATGCTTGTGCATGATAATTTAATACTTGTGTATAAATATTTTAATAAAATGTTAAATGTACATTAGTGTGAGCCATAGTTAAATATATTAGTGTGATAGTTGAGACTGAATTTTACTCAATGATTTTTAATATATTTGAAAGTTAGTGGTTCATATTCTTAAGACATATTGCAAGTGTTGATCTGTCAGTTTATTTCTTTAATTTTGACTTATTTAGATTCATAAGAGAAAATGTTTGCTTCACATATATAAGTACTAACCAAAAATGTAGTAGCACATCTGCTTGCATTATTTTTTAAGCGCAAAAATTCGAAAGGTAGAGTTCTATAAAAGTCCAGAATATTTGAATCACGGAATCTGGATTTGCATAAGTCAGATGTTTGTAAATCGATAAGTTCTATTTGAACACCTTCTGGAGCTTCTTTGACTACAACAGAAAATGGATCCCTGAACAGTTTAAATTTAACATCATGCTACTCAAAGTCTGCAAATCCCTTTTCAGAAGAAATAAGCAGCCTCTTTATTTGATCTGAATCATCCAGTTGGTTATCAGGAAAATTTTCTTTGAGTTTCTTCAGGTAAGGAAAATTGACAAAATTTTGACAGTCAAGCTGCTTTGAGAGCAGCTGGAGTTTTAGTTTGAAAGCAGATGCTGCAATGGCCAGGTGATTGATGAATTAGTTTTTTCCCATCAATTTTTTGTTTATGTCATTTAGATGAGCTGTCACATCAACTAAAAATGCTAAATCACACTTGAACACTAAATCACACTCACACTTGAAAGATGGTTCCTTTAACATTGTAGTTTGGTTGCCATTTTCTTCAAGGAATAGTATTATTTCATCAACCAAATCAGCAAACCTTTTCAAAGCCTCTCCACGGCTCAACCATCGTACTTCAGAGTAACATACGAGATCACTATGTGGTGCATCTGTGTGTTCTAGGATTTCCTAAAATTGCCTGTGGTTTAAACCCCGTGAGCAAATTAAATTGATTGTATCGCTCACTACTTTCATTACGTGGTCAAATACTAGTTCTTTCCATCATAGCTGTTCTTGGTGTATGTTATGTTCACCTCTTTGTGGAATGGGCTGGAAATCAAAACAATAAATATCATTAATATTTACTTTTGCTCCAACGTACAAACGTGAAACACAACTCACTTAAATCTTTAGAACACGATTACAATAAAAATAATTGCATGTTGCCACATCTCTGACACACAATCACAGAAAACTCCATTCATTTAAAAGTAGAAATAAAGTATTTTTAGCTTTATACGAATAGCAGGAATGCACTCATTCGGCGAGCAATGGATGGTGTAACACACTTGGCCCCCATGACTCCGTCATCAGCTGAACTTACTCTTTGGTCAGTTCCCTTATAAGTGCAAATTACTTTTGCCCTCTTTCACTTAAGTGGCGGCAAGTTCTCATCCTTGATTAGCACCAAGTCATTTACACGTAAATCGGCACTGAGAAGTTTCCACTTGTTGCGCCCTTGTAACTGAGTCAAGTAGTCTTTTGACCACGATTTCCAAAACGATTGGGAAATTTGTGTGTCTAATTTCCACCGTTCTCGAATGAGAATTTTCTCATTTGTTACACCAGGCTCAGGAACACTTTTTAACTCGGAGCCAATAATAGACCCGGTGTAATGACAGAAAAATCGTTTGGGTCTTTAGAAGCAGCCACTAAAGAACGAGAAATAGGTATGGCTTCAATCTCCACTAGACACGTTGAAAATTCTTCTTGTGAGAGGATCTGAAATCTCATAACACGTCTCATGTGAAACTTCATGGATTCAACGGCAGCCTCCCATAGGCCTCCAAAATGAGAGGCTGATGGAATATTCATTGTCCAATTAATGCCTTCGTTGGTCAAGTAAGTACCAAGCGCCTCCATCGCACACGCTATTAAGTAATTCATTGCACCGATAAAGTTCATTCCACAATCACTGAATATTTCAGATGGCTTTCCTCATCGTCTGATGAATCGTTTCAGAGCTGCAAAAATGCTGAGACTAAGATCGCTAACAAGTCTAAAGGACAGCTTTCATGCAAAGCATACAAACACACACATGTACATTTCAGTGGTTTAACTCCTCTACCACATCTAGGGCTGATCAAGAATGGTCCTGAAAAGTCAGTTCCGCATTTAAGAAAGGGTCTTCCGGGATTCACTCTCGCAGAAGCAAAATCGCCATCATTGTTTCGAAAACTCAGAGCAAATCTGGCAACGCACTTATTATTTCTCTGCAGTTTTGCTCCCTAGATAATCCAATACTTTGTTTCATTCACAGAGTTAAACTAATTGTACTCCTCTGTGCATATAATTAAGGTGATAAAATGTTACTACAATTTGTAACAGGATGATTCTTAGGCAATTATTGATGTTTCATAGAGTTGTAAGGCTGGCATTCTTAACGTCCTCCTACAGTAGTATGCCTGTGTCAAGAACGGATTTAGAGAAATTAAAGACCTTTTCTTAACACTCTCACTTTCTTTAAAGAGCTATTCCTTTGTATACTCAGTTTTTGGACTGTTTGATTATAATATCATGCGTTCTTTTAGTTCACTTGTTTCTAAGAAAGGAGTCAAAATCCTATTCCCCCTCATATTCTTAAAACTTGAACACCAAGCAACAACTCTGCAACTACTCCACTGAAAATTTTTCCAAAGTGCTCAACAATTCCAACTGAACTACAAAAATTTGAGATTTTTTCTTTCTCTCTAGTATTCCGCACTGTGTACATGGTAACCTAACCACTGTTTAGGCCAACTCTCAAAACTTTTTCGAAGCAAAGGACCGACCACCATTTTCATTAAGTACTAACTTCACAGCCAAGATTCCTAGTAAGCAAATCTGTGGGATTCCGTCGAGGGACAATAATACCAAAAACTTGGACTCGATCTTTCCTGAATTTCCACAACCCGGTGGCAATGACTGTTTCCATCTCTGCATTCCTTCACCCAATGCAACGCAATACAAGAATCACTCCAAGCACTAGTCTTCAATTTTATCCTTGAAAACACTCTTAAGGTTATTTCCACTCTAGACCTATACCGGCCATTAGCTCCAACCGTGGCAGCATTAGTTTCTATAACGGTGACCCTCTATTCTTCGATATTACATAATATACTCTGTAATGCCCATTATTCTCACAATATCTAAAATAAGCAACAGTTCCGTAAGCACCACTTGGTGAAGCATCGCAAAACACATGTACTTCTGATTGATCATTCTCACAATCCAGAAAACAATATCTCGTAATTGTGACGTCTATTAATTTTTCAATTTTGTTACACCACGTTATCCACTTTTGCTGCAAGTCCTCCGGAAACTCTTCGTCCCAATCACATGCTCTCTCCAAAATTTCCTGTAACAATAACTTTATAAGTGCAATCAAACCAATAGGACAATAGGATCAAAGATTCTTGCAGCTGTCTGTAAAACACATCTCTTAGTGCATCGCAACGTTTTCCAAGAATCCACCAAAACCTTCACTTCTAGCGACAACTCATCTCTATCAGGATTCTAATTCAACCCTAGGACTTTCAGCTGCTTAACTCCCACTATCTCACTGTCACTAAGTCCATTTTCTATCCACAATTTTTCTAATTCTCTACTGTTCGAGCTCAGTTTCCTCAAATTAAATCCACCACTCTTTAATATTGATACAGCATCCGACGACAACTCAAATAATTCTCTCCCACTTTCTCCACCATAATATAAATCATCAACGTAAAGTGATGAATTTAACATTTCAAATGACTTCGGTTTACTTTTCTCATAATTTTTTATATGATGCTTTATCGTAGCATTCAAAATGAAAGGGGAACTTTTACATTTAAAGGGTAGTTTTTTCATTCTTCACTAGGGTTTATCTGAATACCAAAGAAATTTAAGAATTTCTATTCTTTCAGAAATTTTTATTATTAAGAAAGCCTTCTCTATATCACCATTAAACGCTTTTTGTAATTACGAAATTTTAGAATCACATCAAGAATATCTGGATTTAAATTTGGGCCAATTTCCAAAAATCATTTAAAGAAAGATTAACTTAGATTTTGAACTACAATTAAAGACTATTACGAACTTTGGTTGCTTCTTTATCTCCCCTAACAATGCTCTATGAGGCATAAAATACTCATGTCATCTCTCTTACATTCCTCAATAACTCCATTTTGTTTTTGGTCATTTATTATATCCCTATACTCATTAGCAACCCAATCATTTTTAGAAAAATCCTTGATAATTATTTCCTAATTCATCGTAACTAAACTTCCATAATAAATCAGTTTTATATCTCTCATTCACGAATTTAAAAATTTTCTCAAATTCATCTATCAGCACTTTATCAACTACAGTCAAAAGTCGTTAATTCGGACACCCGTAATCCGGAATGATCTATAATCCCGACCTCAAAGCTAAAATCTTTCTGCGCATGCGCCGCATTGACGCATGCGCATAGCGTTTTACTCGTTCGCGCAAGACATTTACGACTGGCATATGCATCTGCGCAAGTGCATAATACGTTTTCGCGTGCGCGTTTAATGTATAACGGACGGTAAAAGCTAAAATTATCTAATTATCTATTTCAGTTATGTTGATAATTGCGTTGTTCCTTAATCTTCGAATTGGATCCGGCTTATTATTTTTTGCAGAATGTAAGAGCAATTTTATAAAAGTAAGCTTGAACTTTCGATTATGTCAAATAGAATTTCCGATGCTGGGCTCCCAAAGGATCTAGAAAACGAAAGTATGTTTCGATGTCCATCAAACAAAAACGAATTGCTACAAAAAAATGGATAAAGCATATCCTTTGTTTATCTAACCGTCCGAAATCTGTTTATCAATTTCACGCTGCTCTGCGCGGGGGGGGCACGTCGCGGCGCGCAATGAACTGGAAGTTGATCTGTCAACACTATCGTTATCTTCAGGGCAGATGTTTTTATTTTAGTTCGGCTTATAATTCCTTACTAAATGTAGTATTTAATTTCGATGTACTCCGTCTTTGATATGATTTAAATCAAATTCCTCGTCATTATAAATATCACGAAT